CTCCACGCGCTCGGGGTGTGTTGGGGGGCACAAAGGGCCCTGCTGCTGAAGCCCCGCCGAAAACTCATGTGGGGGCCCCCGAAAACTCTCATGGGGTCCCCTGCGGAGCCTGGGGCAAATTGCCCCACTTGCCCCCCGCCTCCCCCCGGGCGGCCCTGCCTGCGGGGGACCAGGTGCTGGTCCCAGCCAGCGCGATCGCCAGAAAGGCAATTCCCTGTGGGGTGGGAGACTCCTGTGCAGAGAGGGGGGCTTGGGTCATGCTCCGTGCGGCTGTCCAGGCACCGCAGAGCAGAGCCCCACCCCTCTGGGGCAGGGAGCCCCTCGCCCTTCCCAGCAGCCAGGCGGGGAGAGACGTGTCTGGCATTGTGATCTCCCTGCTTAGCTGTGAGCCACCCCAGGGGGCCTCGCTGACCCCAGCTGTTACCGAGTGCTGCCCCTCTGGGACGGTCTCAGGGAAATCACCCCGCCCGACGTTGGAGGGACCTCAGAGGCTCAGTGCCAGTGGCCTCCTCCATTTAATCTGTGGGGCCCAGCAGGAGACAGTCCCGGGAGCTCAGATGGTGCTGGGGACTTCTCGCCTGGCCCTTGGGCAGTGAGCTGTTTGAGTCATCTCCAGCCCAGGCCAGCGACCTCCCAGTCTGAGGGGTGGGGGTGAGTGCAGGTTCCACCCAGCACCCCGGGGCTGTGGGTCCAGGGCGGGCTGTGCTGACCAGAGGGTCAGTCCCACCGCGTGGGGGCCTGAAACGTGAACGTGACTGAACAGCCACATTCCTACCTCCCTTTCTCCAGCACCCCCCTTCCTCCTCTTCTCCCCTCCCCTCCAGTTGTGTCGTCCCTGCAGCCCCTCCTGATATCCCTGTGGCTCTGAGCCTGGGGGCCTTGTCCATGATGGAGACCCCTAAGTGCTGTGGTTTCTCTCCTCTCTCTCCATGGCATCAGCTGCTCCGCACTGGGGTCCTTGTAACTGGCCTGGCTCCGCTTGGTGTGTCAGGTCCTGTGGGGGCTGGCGGGGTGGCAGAGCAGCTGGCAGGGGGCTTGCCAGCACCTTGGGCGAGATGGGCCTGCGATCCGTGCCCCTCTGGTCCTGCCCAGGTGGTCTCTGCCTTAAAGACACACAAGCATTTCAGAGGGCATGTGGGGGAAGGGCGAGGCGTGGCGTCCGCCCCAAACCTGCTAACACCAGCCTCTCCCCCTAGTCTGGATTCAGCCTGGTGATGAACCATCCAGCCTGTGTCAACGAGATCACCTTGAGCCTGAACAATAAGAACCCAAGGTATGCTCCTCGCCCCTCTTCCTTGGGGTCCCTGCTGCGCCAGGCGCTGTACAAACACAGAACAAAAAGCCAAACCCTACCCCAGAGAGTTGACAGGCTAAGTAACAGATGGGGGAGCACCAGGAAGCAGCAAGGCAGGACTGGTCAGCATTGGCCTGGCTGTGGAATCGCGGCAAAGGAGGCAGCTTTGCTGACGTTTCGGGGAGCTCCCCGCAGCGCGCAGAGCAGCACGGGACGTGTCGTTTGAGAGGTTAACACATGGGCGATGGAGGTCTGGCAGGGGGCTGACGGCTCTCGCTGTGAACGGGAGCCCATAGGGAGGGGGCATAGGCCGTGGAGGGGCTTGTGAATGAAGACCAGCAGCTTGTGGCTGGTGCCGCAGAGAAGGGGCAGCCCCCGGAGGGAGTCAGACCCTGTGTTCTCCCCGTAGGACCAAAGCCCTCGTCCTGGAGTTGCTGGCCGCCGTGTGCCTGGTCCGAGGAGGGCACGACATCATCCTCGCTGCCTTCGACAACTTCAAAGAGGTGGGTCCCCCAGCGACCAGGTCGGAGCCGGTGGGGCCCAGGAGCCAGCTGGCCCTGGGGATCTCAGCGCCCCTGCTGTGGAGGATGGGGGCAATAGGGGTGGGAGCCAGGAACTCCTGCCTCCTAGTCCCAGTTCTGACAGCAACTCTCAGTGCAGCTCGGATAAACCCCTGTCTTCCCCTGATACCCAGCTGCCTGCTGGGCTGGGCTGGGTCAGGGCCGAGGAGAGGAGACGCGCCAGGTACTAATGAACTGACGCTCCACGCCTGGTTCTGTCCCCTCGGTGCCGCCTTGCTGTGTCTGTGCGTCAGGAGCTGCGGAAGCCCTGCTCAGACACCTCCCTCCCCTGCCTCCTGCGCAGGGCTGCGCCCCACGGCCCGTCTCTGGGGCTCTGGCCAGTCGGATATGTAAACTGGTCTCTGCTGTGGGCAGAGCCGAGCTACATCCCCCCCACACACACACGTTGTGCCCTAGGCGTAGGGTGCTGCACGTGGCCGGCCCTCCCTGGGCCAGAGCTGAGCAGAGCATGGGGGTGGGCCGGGGAGGGGTCTCTGGGAGCATCATGGAGCACATCTCTCTCTGAGGAGCCCCTGACTCACCCCTTGTGGGCTGGGTCCATGAGGGGCTGTCCTTGGCGCTGATGTAGTGCTGGAGCAGTGGGACCCCCTCTCCTCTGCAATCCCACATTCCTTCACAGCCCCACTCCCTGGAGCCTGTCCTCCCTCCCCCATGCCCGGCGGGCATCCACACACCAGCCAGCCCCTCACCAGCTCTGTGTGCTTTAGCTCACGCTCCCCTCCCCTCCGCAGCGTGCCCTGGCTGGCAGAGCTGGCGTGTCTCTGGGGGCAAGGACCTCATGCTGTAGCCAGGATGGGCAGAGGCAGGGCATGACTCTGCTGCCAGTGCTAGGGCAAGAACCAACCCTCCTGTCATTGCTGCCTCCTGGGAGCCCCCAGCACCGGCTGCAGCTTATCTGCAGGTGCGGGCATTCGGAATGGGGTCAGAACGTGACCTCTGCCCTCCGTGGCTCCCTGCCCAGGGCTGACAGCTGGCCCGCGGGGGTGTCGGATGGACGCTGTACTGAAGGGTTCCCGTCTCTTCCTCGCTGCGCCGGCCCTTAGTGATAGCAAGGAACAATCCGCCGCTCTTCTCTAGCCTCTTCTGCCAATGATCTCAAGGTGTTTTCCAGACACTGATGTATTGACTCTTGTAAACCCTATGGAGGGTGGCCATGGTTACCCACCCCGCTACACATGGGGAAACTGAGGCACAGAGTGGGGAAAGGACTCACCCAAGGCTCCATGGTGAGTCAGTGGCAGAGCCAGGAATGGACCTCAGGTCTCCTACTCCCTGTCCCTGGCTCTGACCATAGGCCCTTGCCTGGAAAGCTGGTGATACAGTGTAATGCTGACAGACCCTGGTCATCGGCGGGCAGGATCGAACCTGGGACCTGTGGAGCTTAGTGCACGAGGCTCTACAGCATGAGCTAAAAGCCAAGCGGCTCGTCACTAAGGCTGTAGAGCAGACGCCTTCATCTCTCTCTACGTGGGCTCGGTGCCCCACCCCCAGGCAGTGTGTGGGTTACACCAGCATGGTATCTCCACCCATGGCCAGTCTTGCCCTGCCCCCATACAGCCAGGAAGGGGGAAGTCTTTTAGAAGTTCCTAGGGGAGTTAGGAGCACAGACCCATTGGCTATCAATGGGAGTCGGGCTCCTAACTCCCTTAAACATTTCTGAAAATCTCCCCCAAACGGCCTTAGAGCCAGCCCACAATCCTTCCATCCCACTCACATTTAGCCACCCCGCCTGCCGTCCCTGGGCTCCTGAAACCGTCCCTCTTGCTGCTGGGGTTTGTAAAATCCCCTGCCCCGTGGCGTCGCAGCTCTGAAGGAAGGGGATGTCGTCCCTTTGAAATGGCACAAGGGCCCGCCCGCGCCCCCTGCCCAGCTCCTCTGCCAGGCTCTCAGGGCTGGTTCTGCGCTGCCAGCCGGGAAGTTCTCGCAGGCGTGGCTAGTGCCCGGGTGCCGCCGGTGCCTCCCACTGGGCTGACTCGGGACAGTTCTAATGCGGCCGGGGATGGGATGGGGGCACGTCATGCAGCTGTGAAGATTCGCCTCTCGGGGGGGAGGCCAAGCACGTGGGAAAGCTCCCTCCTCATCTTCCCACCCAGATTGCTCTGCGCACTGAGGGAAGGGCTCCTGAGTGTGGTGCTGCTAATGGTGGAGAGCGACGGGCAGGGGCTGTGCCAGAGTCCTGGGTACACTGTATGAGCTCTGCCAGTGCCCCCCTGTCCTGCCCGGCAGCCCCAGGCCGCTTCTAGCTGGGCCCCC